AATTTGTAATGTACAAACAATTTCTTTCGAAATTGACCCTCAATTTAGTTCAATTTAGCTTGAGCAATTTAGCATTTTTCTCGGATAGTATCATGCCCAAAACTTCATTAATTTGTTAAATTAAGGAGTGAATGTACAAACAAAAATTTTTACTGTACAATCATGTACTGACGATGTACAATCAAGTACATAAGACCATTTTTCAAATTAGTGATCTATGTTGGCTAAGTACCTGGCGGTCTCTCACATGCGCGGTCTAGGCATAATATGCCTATGTTTTTTCCGTGTGTTATGTGGTGTTATACTTATGCACTGAAAGCGTCTTCGGTGGTTCACCTTCGAACAATCAGTTCGTAATTACATTATCGAGACCCTGTGTTAAACAAAAATCGTAATTTAGAAATGAACATTTCGTTGTTGTTACTTAGCCGCGATTCTTGGGCCACCGTAATACGTGTGTACAGACGTGTTTAGAGCGCGCCGTGTGGTACATCTGCGAGCGAATTGCCTGGCATAACGCAACAGAGAACTAGCGTGGTATATAAGCGCTGTTACAAGCCGGGATATAACTGGGAAGAAAAACACGTGAAATAAAAATACACAAGTAATAATATTATACTTTTGTAGTGTCAAAAAGGAAAATACGATACGTTTATGTCAGCGTTGTGAGCAAATTTATGCAACGGAATATCAAAATTGTGAGTGGAGGATTGGAAATTTAACTGGGCTTCTCTATGTGGACCGAAACAAGTTCGGAGGTTAAAGGTCTGTGCTGCAAGGATATCTCAAGGGGTCCCAGATACCTGAGATGAGCAGTATGCCAGCCAAAGGCAAACATCACCACATGTCCCATCATCATCTATCTCACCACTCTCACCAACAGGGGCAACAAACACATCACCAACAACCACTGCTCCAACAGCATCTTGTCAACGTCAATCATTCTGTTCCTGGTAATCCACAGCCATACAGCACACTCGGACCTAGTCGTGTGTACGTGTCACATGCCGGTGAGTATTTTTTTTTACGTTTCGTATTTATCCATTATATATTTTTTCTGATAATTCAATTCGTTTGAGGTTAGAGAGAATATTGAAAAGACTGAAGATTTTTGGAGGTGTCCAAGCGGCGTGGCTTTAGGTTAGGTCATGGGCTGTTGTGCATGTAAATTAGGGGGGAAAGAAAGTGCTGGCTTCTTTTATTCATTCTGAAAATTCTTTGAATATAATTTTCGGAGACTAGCAAAAAAGGGGCACTGTTAGCGGAATGTGTAAATAGATGAGGGAACATAATTAATTTTTTTTCTTCATATGGTAGAATTTTGTTACATGTTACATTTTGAAGGTCGAGGGGTATTCGAAGGACAATTTCTTCAATTCTGATTTTGGTCGATCAGAGTGCGGTGTTCGGGATTACGGGACACATTTCACCAAAATGTGAGGATTATTTCCCATATCATTTTTCCGAACAATAGAATTGCGGAATTCGACGTCTCGTGGTTCAATCAGAACAGAATTATATCGAATATCTGTCAAATTCATAGAAAACAATTGGCTTCTTTATCAGTCTGATAATTTCACTCTGATTGGTCAAAATCAGAATTGAGGAAATTGTCAGTAGTAATACCCCAAAAGTTTCAAAATTATCGGGGATTTTCCGATAGCTTCTTTGTAAACAAATGAAGGTGTCAAGTTCTGTAGGTTCAAAAATTCCGAGCGCTCGCGCGAGGGATTTTTCTGTAAAACTTGGCAAGATCGTTTGTTTGCCTGAGGGGAGTTTAAGGGAAACTCCCGATTAATTTTGAAGCTCGACGGGTATTTGTCCCAATCGGATAAATCAGAGGCTTATTTTTCCCAATCAGATTTTGGTCAATCAGAGTGCAGTGGACAACATTAGGAGGTGAGTCAGGGCAGATTTGAACAAATTATGTTAATAGAATAACCCGACTTCCGTAGACTATCAAATACATGATTCGATCTGAAATCAGCCGAAAAAATGAAGAGTTACTGCGAAACATTCAAAAGCTAGGAGGAAATATCCGAAATAAAACGCGCGGGTAGCCTCGATACTGCGCTCTGGTTGGTCGAAATCCGATGGAGAAAAATAATCAAAGCTTATTTCAGTTGAAACTTAGTAAATCCCAACCGCACCCCACGTGTTCATGTTAATCACCATGATAAACTACATTAGTGAATCGAATGAAACTACGCATTACATAGTCAGACGCATGCGTCGTCACGAGTAGCAAGACATTACGTCTGAAAAATTGCAACGTATCAAGAACCTTAAGTTTAAAAAAACAGACTATCGACGTATATTTTCATGTACTGATGATACTTGTCTCGCATCGCTGACAAAATATGACAATGGATGCCGGAATGAGGTATGATTAATTGGCAATACATCGGATCTATAGATAGTTCCGAAAATCATGTTGCAGTTGCATCGGCATTGACTAGGATATATATAGACAAAAAAATTTCCTTTTTGTCTGCAACAATAAATCAAAGCGTTCATGGGATTCAATTTGAGTCGTAAAATGTTCTCACATTTCAGCTCTCTGTTCTCCTCGTTTTTTTTCATGTGAACTGAATCTGTCTATAGGGGCCGTAAATGTAGACAACCATCCATATAGAGAACCATTTGCATGACAATTGATAAACAAGAGAAGAATACGGGGAGTACATCGAAGACAGTTTTATTCAACCAAATAGAAGTCAGTTCTACCAGCGTTTCTCGTCTATCCGTTGAAACAAAAAATACAAGATTGAAGAATGATACACGTCGTTCATTTTCTTCTTCAATTGCAATGAATTTGGTCCTCGCCATTCAGTTTATTTTGTCATCCGATACGACGCAGACTTTTTTAAAAAGTCTGTCTCAGTCGGAATTAGAAATATGAAAATGACCGTTATTTTTTTAGTGATATGGCAAATTTATGAATATCATGCGACACTTATGTGATCTCGTATTTTTTTGGAGTCATAATTTGACTAGTTTGAAATTATCATTGCTACTTTGATGGAATATGATTGTTACCTAAGGTTTGTGTTCCAAGAAATGCCATAAAATTGAGCAGCTATCATAAAATCTTGAATAGCTTGACATTGTTACGGCTGCTCTCATGCAATATGACGGTCACATAGAATTTGTATGACAAAATATGTGATAAAAGTGAGGAATGGACATGATCTATTCAGTTGGAATATGATGGTCATATGTTAATGACGTCCTAATTCGATCATCCTATTCTAAAAAGAACATACACTTAGAGTCGATAACTATCGATATCTTGCAAGTCTGTCACGCCTATTCTTCATTGGTTCACAGTCGTCTTAGGCGGCAAATTTAATTCAGGATTCATTTAATTTTGAGATTTCCAATTATTATTGTTACAATTACAGCGCGCTGTAGCGCGCGGTCGGTCTCGTGTGATAAAAATAACTGGCATCTGCCATGTGACGGTCATATGACGTGTCACCAAATTTTTGTACATCTCTAGTCGGAACTAATTGTTAAATTAGAAAATCGGCCCCCTGAGAATTAATCGTCAGGAACGTGTGGGATAAGAACAATCGTTCATTCGGGAAAGTAAACAGTTTTTGTAGAAAAAGAAATTCTCAATAACGTTTAGTTGGTTGTCGGGCGATTTTATGAACTTTCACAATCTCAACTTTTCAGAATAGACTAAAAATTGGCCATACAAATGATGAAATAATTGATAACTATAACTTGCTGAGCTAGGAAAGATCATTTTACGGGAAAGGAAGAAAAAAACTTTCGGAGGAACAGAATAAATCAAGTCGATCGATTGAGAAAATATCCAACGGCCTCTCCATCCTCGTCATCCCCCCTCCCCCGCCTTTTCTCACTCCTGTGATAATGAAAATTTTCACATCAAATTGGGTGGGTGAAGACGTTGAAGTGGGGATTGAGAAAGATATATATATATATATATATATATATATATATATATATATATATATATATATATATATATATATATATATATATATATATATATATATA